ATGCTCTCCTTTCACTGTGATTATCCACCCTAGCAAATTATAGGCTGCACCATTACTCACTAGCATTTATATATAAAAGATATAAAAGCAATTAACACTGCTGCCAAACTTCCTGCTACCAAACTTCAAGACCCATTGCGAGCCCTGTGTGCTGAATCTTCTCACTTCAAGAGAAATAAGAATATCTTCTTGTGCAATACATAGTTTAACAATAAGAAGGACATCAGCTTTTTATTCTGCACAACAATAAATGTCCTTTACTGGGCATTCTGTGGACAAACAAGTGGATCCAAAACAGTAGTACCATCCATCACAATAATTATTTTTTCTTTCTGATAAACTCATACATGAAAAGCTTTACATGCACACATTGACTCTTTGAGATCAATAAATCTATTCACTTCTGTAAAGTTACTTACATGTGTAAGTATTTGCTGGATCAATTTAAATTGTGGGACTTTATGTGTTAATAAGAACACCCTTGCTATATTGACAACATTCTGAAATATTATGAAAATATGAATAAAGTGACTTAAACAGGTTATCCATTGATCTGATGCAAAAAAAATTGTATAAAGATCTTATGTCATTTGTTACTGGGACAAAGCCGGAAAACATATGGTAAACACATACGGTATTTGTAGCCTTAGCTGAAATAAGAAACCACAAGTCACCCAATTCATGCGTGCTAGGAATATATCACTTGAGATTTCCATGCTGAAGCTCAACAAGTTTGGAAGGGCCTATTTTGCATCTTCAGATTAGATGTCATAACAGCAATCACTAGTAAGTTTCTCTACTGAGTTACAGATCGAAAAGCAAGTACATTAGGGGGTACCCTTGACAATCCTTGAGGTCCCTTCTAACCCTATGATTCTACCTCAGAAGTGGGCAAAATACGGCCCACCAGGCCATTCTGTCTGGCCCACAGAGCCCCTAAAAATGTAGTAAATTAATATTTATTTGCTCCTGGCTGCCTCTCAAAGATGACAGGAGATAGGGGCAGTAGGACCCAGGGGAAACCAGCAGGACTGAGCAGCCCAGCCCAGCCCAGCCCAGCCCAGCCCTAGCCACTTCCCTGCCTGCGCACTGCTCCAGCACCACCTAGCTCCCGGCTGCATCCACTGAAGCATGGGGCCATGTCAGTACCCCGGGGTTGGGGGGTGTAGGGAGGGACTTGTGTGTGTGTGTGTGTGTGTGTGTGTTCGTAGGGTGAATCCCACACACCCCACCATATACATGCACCCACAGCCCTCCTTGCACTGCCATACATGCAGACTCCCACACCCACATGCCCTCACATACCCCAGCTACCCTCCCCCACACACAGCCTCCCACAAGCCCCATACCCACCCACACCCCTCGTATCCACACACACACCCACATGCTCCCACACCCCATATGGCTTATATTTGAGAAAGCTCAGGTATTCTAATTTGTCCCTCCATTTTTGTACAGTCTGATGGATTGTTAGTAAATCTGAATGGATTCAGCTGTCACTTTTATAAGAGTACCTGGGATCATTCCTAACAGTTGAGGATCAAATACTTTTCATGGCATACTTTTAAAGGAACTGAGTACAGAAAGTGATTTGATATCCAACCCAAGCCCTAAACCTAGTGCTTTATTTTAACATTGCCAAGAATACTAGTATTTAGTCAATTCACTGTAAAAAATCTGGTATTTAAAATGGAAACTACTTGACAAGACTTTTCTGACTGCAATTTATCTTGTATAGAATAACACTGAATAGCAAATAGCCCATAATATTTCCTTTGAATGGAGGCAGAACTACACGGTGAAGTTGTTTGCTAGAAATCTCTTGAAACCTGCTAGTGTTTTAGTTTAAAAAAGTGTATGTGGATGTAAAGAAAGATAGGGAAGGGAAGGAGATAAACACACAAGCACAGCTAGTATTATAGTTCTGAGAATACAACCCAGTATTTTCTGCTCTTATTTCTGTAACCAAATACCTGAAGGCCCTTACTAATTTAATTCTCTCTCTCCTTGCAGTATATGGAGACAAAGGATCAAGTCCTTCTATTTTAGAAAGTATCTGATGCTATTTAGCAGGTCAAGAATAAAACACATATGAACTAAAATAAGAGATACTGCATTGTAGTAGTGTGCAAGGTGATTCCTATATACTACATTGGTACCTCACTTGATTATTTGTATTGTGCTGGTTCCTAAAGGCCCTAATCTGAAAGCAGGGCCCCACTATGCTAGGCACTGATGGCCACATAGTAAAAAAATAGTCCTTGTCCCAACAAGATTACAAGGAAATGAGGGTAAAGGTGGAAAAACAACAATAACCAATAATGATCAGCTTGACTATATCAATAGTTGTAGAACTCCAGATTTCCAGCTTCTGTCCTGGACACACAAAAAGACGACAAGAAATGGAATTAATTAGTCAGTAAATTTAACGACTCACCTAGGAACTATATAAGAGTCCTTTCATAATCAATTCCATCTGGTGAAAATTTGCCATCAAACCCCCTGAGAGGTGGCCAAGGCCTCTTACCACACTCCCCACAGGGACTTCCTCACTAATACCAGTCTTCTTCTTCAAGTAGTCTCTCTAATGTGGAGATTTGTTGATCACCATGTTCCATCCTTTAATCATCACAATGCTGTAAAACATCCATAGTCTTTTGGATACCGCTCTATCTTGCATTCAACCTATTTGACCTTCTTCCTCCGTTTCCTGGTTTCCCTTGTATTTACCTGATATTAAAAGTGCTAACATAGAATTATTTGGTGATTTTGGACTATATATCTGAAGACAGATGTTCTTTTATCTAGAACTTCAAATAGCTGTGCTCAAAGATGTAAACTAGTGGTTTTCAACCCTTTTAGGCTCAAGGTACCCCTCCAAAACTATTCAGAATTTAGTAGCACCCCAACTAATATATTACAAATATTATAAGTATAAATATATTAATTCCATTACTTGATTACATCATTATATTATATTCACCCTCTCAGGGAACATCCTGGCTTGGAGTGTGCTCCATGCCTCGTCAAGTATATGTTTGCTCCCAGTGCAGCAGTGGGCTCTCCCCAAGCAGCTCTAGGTCACTGGTGGGGATCAGGAACTACTGGGTCAAGTTCTGCTCACAGTTACCCCAGGACAATCCACCCTGAATTTAGCCTGTATGGTACAGAGTATGGGGACACTTGGCTGGCAGGGATCAGATGCCAAGCTGGCAAGCACGCTGCTTTCTGCTGTAGCTCTTCCTGGTTGCTCCTGAAAACTTAGGTACATAGGGCAATTTTATCCCATGGCAGCCTGGAGACAGATGCAACTGCCGCTAGGTAGAACTGTGAGCCACTGGTAGGGGATGCATGGGGGGGGACGGGACCCCTGAAAG